TTGAGTGAATAAACTGAAGCTCTCACCAAAATAAAATACTTAGGCCTAGAACTACCTTTAGACACATTTTCTATAATACTGAGGTTAAGAATAAGAGGAACTCATGTAAATGCATGAATACTTAATTTCCTCTTGAAATTGACCCAGAATTGGAGATGAAGTGGTCATGTAGGTTTATGTAAGACAGGCTATAAATAGCAACTGCTCTAGGTGTATAAGTAAAGAAAATGCAGAGGGAAAGTAGACACATATTCTTTTTATAACTTTTGCCTTCATCGATCGAGAGACGAGACAGACAGCCTCTTGGATCAATTATTATATTTATGAAATGGCTGTCTCACCTTTAAATTTGTCAATAATTGTATTCAATGTGCATTAGTACTTTAATGAGTAGACTTTCCTCTTCACTTGCCAAAGAATAGCAAATATCTACCACCAAGTAATTTTTTAATTTATATTTTTTATTGAACTGTAGTCAACTTGACATACAATATTGTATTAGTTTCAGGTGTACAACATGGTGACTCAACATTTATATACATTACAAAGTGATCACCATGGTAAATGTTGCTACCATCTGTCACCATACAAAGTTGTCACATATTACTAACTATATTCCTATATGCTATACATTGTATCCCTGAATGTTATTTATATATTTTATAACTGGAAGTTTGTACCTTTTGCTCCCCTTTACCTATTTTACCCATATCCCCCCTCCCCATCCCTACCTTGCTATAGCAACCACTGCACTGTTCTCTGTATCTATGAGTCTCTTTTGTTTCATTATTGTCCATTTATTGTGTTTTTCAGATTCTACATATAAATGAAATTCCAGGGTATTTGTCTTTCTCTGACTTATTTCACTTAGCATAATACTCTCTGGGTCCATGGCAAATGGCAAAATTTCATTCTTTTTGTGGTTGAGTAATATTCCATATAAATACCACATCTTCTTTATCCATTCAACTACCAATGGACACAGGCTGCTGCCATATCTTGGCTATTATAATCAGGGTGCAATGTACATAGGGGTTGGAGGGCTAATCCCTGAGGCTACCTCTGAGTAAATTTAAAAGTGTGAGAACCAGCAAAGGGCCTGGAAAAAGTTTGGTGGCTGGAAAGCCAGAAGAAGAACTTGCCTTAAGGAGGAGGGAATGAGATCCACTGCACCAGATCCTGAAAGTAAGACAAGGACCAAGCCTAGTGCATTGGATTGAACAACATGGAATTCATGGTTACCTAACAAAGCAGCTTCGGAGCAGTGCTGGGACGGAAACCAGAGTCAGTTCAAGATATAATGGGAGACTGGGACTGGGTTTGGTGTTTAAGAATGCAGTCATCCCACCTACCATCTGCAGTTTCAAAAACCTGTGGTCACCTGCAGTCTAGAAGCAGATGACCCTCCTTCTGACCAAGCAGCAGAAAGTTAAGAGCAGCCTAACACTATGTCACAACATCTATGTCACTCGCCTCCCCTCATCTCATCACGCAGGCATCATATCAATTCACACATCACCAGAAGCAGGGTGAGTGCAGTGCAATAAGATATGGTGAGAAAGAGAGAGACAGAGAGAGACCACCTCCACAGAACTTTTATCACAGTATATTGTTGTAACTGTTCTGTCTCATTATTAGTTCTTGTTGCGAACCTTTATCATGCCTAACGTATGAATCAAACTTTACCACAAGTAGGTATGCATGGTGGAAAAAGACTACGTGCAGGGCTTGGTATTGTGCACAACTGCAGGCAGCCACGACAGGTCTTGGAATGTACCCCTTGCAAAAGAGGGGGGCTGCTGTATCAAAAACGTTCTCAAGGTGTTCTGAAGAAAAGAGAAGGGTTGCTCACTGGAGGAAGTGCAGTCAAGAAAGAATTTTCTTCGGTTTTTTTTAAGGATGAAAAAATAATGGCATGTTTATGCTTTGCAGGGAGTGAAAGATGCAGGAAAGTGAGGAGAAATTACCAGAACACTATCCCTGAGTAGGCAAGAAGGGCGGAGTCCACTGCAGAAGTGAAGGTGCCTTTCCTGGGCTGCAGGCAGCTCATTTACAGCACCAGGAGGTGAGCAATGCGTGTGGAGCCTCCAATTGCCCCTATTTTCTCAATGGGAAACAGACTTTAAGCCAAGCACACCAGGGGTGTGGCCCCAGCTCTGCCAATCACAAGCTGTGTGACCTGAAGCTCTCTGCACCTCTATGTCCTCATCCCTAAAATGGGAATAAATAACAATAGGACTTTCCTCGCTGGGCTGTCCCAAGGATTAAACAGTGTGTCCTTTGCCTAACACAGTGTCTGCCCTCTAGTAAGTGCTTCACAAACGAGAGCTACAATAAGTCTGAGGAAGCCAACAGCTGGCCCTGGCGGGAAAACAGATCAGTCTTTGTCCAAATTCCTTATCATACCTGAGCAATGCCTTTGTCTACAGAGCTCAAAATATAGGTTTTATTATCCAGCTGTTCAGGGCTCCTGGCCTCTGTCCAGATGACTGCTTAGTAACCACCTGATCTACACCCTCTAAGAATCAGTAAATCAGTCCCAGAGCAGCAACTATTATGTCTATTGATTAATAATAAAAAAGACAAAGTCTTGAACCACGAATCAGCTATGAACGAGTGACTTAGAGCCAATGTGTTTATTTTAAGAAAACTGTATAAAACACAAATTATCACCAAGTATGATCACAGGTCTCATCAAGAAGTACCAAATTGGGTAAGACGGTCCTCTCCTTTTCAAAATAATAATAGTTCATATTAGTACCACTGTAGCAGGCACTGTGCCAATAACTCTTACAATCGAGAGTTTAATTATTTCTCATCTCGACGCTTGTAGCAGGTGTTATTATTACAAATGAGGACATGAAGACTTTGGGAGGTTATAGGATTTGTCCTGGGTCAGGCAGCTTGACCTAAAGGTGGTTTGAACCAAACTATCTTTCTTCCCTCTTTAACCTGAAAGCAAAATGGGAAACTAAGATTCAGCTAAGAGCCCTGCTAAACAGTGACCCTGGGGATCCCTGGGTGGCTCAGTGGTTTGGTGCCTGCCTTCGGTCCAGGGCATGATCCTGGAGTCCCAGGATCGAGTCCCACATCAGGCTCCCTGCCTGTGTCTCTGCCTCTCTCTCTGTGTGTGTGTCTCTCATGAATAAATAAATAAAATCTTAAAAAACAAACAGTGACCTTCTTGGCCTTCACCTTCCTGTGGCTTCCTGGAGGTGTTCTGGTAGGAGGGGAGGAAGTAGGGGACTGGAATCCAGAACAGATCTCTGTGATTCAATTCAATGAACTAGGATGAAGCGGGGCAGGGGCGGGGGGCCAGTGCGGAGACGGGTGGTCACTGTAAGATTCAGTAGAGAACCAGCCAGAATTAAGATTCTAAGCTTTGGTTGCTGATGTAAAGGTGTCTGTGGCTTTCAAACTCTTTCCAGAGGTATGTGGGGAAAATAAAGTATTCAATATTGGTCTGAAGAAAGGTATTAAGGGTTCCAAATAGGAGGGGCCCAGAATGTGAAGTCAGAAAATGTTCCCACTGAAAGAGAAGCTAAAATAATCAATATCAACATGATGAGCTTAGCCACCACCAGAAAAGCCCTCTGACATACAAGATGGTTTGGTAATATACTGCAGATGAGACTTGGGTATTTTCCTAATCCTCCATGAGAAGACTCGAACTGGTGCCAAATTTAATCAGGGACATTCAAGTATCTTCCTTATCCAATCAAGAGACCAGAGTCCCCCCTCAAATCCAATAACCATGACCATGAAAAATGGGATGAGGATGTCAATTAAGTCATCAAAGAACACAGCAAATTTTCTCTATCGCATTATGACCACTATCTGAGTGGGCACTGTGTCAACAGAAAGAAATATAGGGCAATAGGGAGTGAATGCAAAACACTTTAAATGTATCGCTCTTCATCTGGCACTTTTGGGGGAAACGGATTACACAGGCCCTCAAGGATTGATTTCAGTTATATCCAGAAAAACTAACTCAAAGAAGTGGGAATTTTGTGAGCGAACAAAGGGTAATTAAAATATCCTGTAAGGAGGTGGCTCCCTTTGCTCTGTTCACCACCAATCAAGCTTCTGATCTCCATTCTTGTCTCTCGGTTACACCGCTCACCAGGACAGCATGCCCCCAGCAAAGGACCACACTGTTGCCTCCCTGCTAGACATCACACCCATCCGCTGGCAGGTCCTGTCAATCCTACCTCCAAAGAGCACTGCATGGCCCACCTCACCCCATCCCCATCGCAAACACCTTGGTCTAGACCACATGACCCCCTCCCACCTCCTAACTCTCTCTTGACCTTTGGTACTGCCAGCTCAGCTTCCCATTCCCCACACAGCAGCCACACAGGCCCTTTCAAAATTCTAATCTGCCTTCAATCATTCAGGAACAAAATTTACAGGTTTCAGAAGGTGCTGTATACACATCTGTCTGACCATCTGATAAGCTATTACCAAAAGAAGGAAGATTTGAATAAATAGATTATCTCACCATAAAACCAACAAAACCAAAAGTTGATTAATCTGTTCTAAATTAGGAACCCTTAATGCTTTAAGTCCATACATACAAAGTTAAATTCTGACAACAAATTGTAGCAATCACCTAATGAAACAAATAAGCTCCCATAATAAACAGATCTCCCTCTCTCTCTCTCTCTCTCTCTCTCTCTCCCCTGTGACTGAATCTGCGTTAGAGTATAATATTCTACTTTAGTTTTCTCACATTGCTAAGTTGTCTGTGTGAGTGAAAAAATACTGGAGATGATCAGATTTAAATGTGGTTATTCAGTGTAAAATATAACTTGAGGTTTAAAACAGAAATACTGCAAAGAGTAATTAGTTGTGGAAATGTAAATCATACCATGAAGAAAGGCATGTAAAAAATAATGAACAAATCAAGCATAAGTTAAATTTTAAAATTCAAGGCATTTTGTTTTGAGGCATCTTTGAGCTCGCCAAGCAGACACTTTAAGCAAAACTACTCTACTGAGATGAAAGAATTTATGGGCAACAAGTTATGGTCACAATTAAATTGTGGCAGACACGGCCAAGGAATGCTGAAGGGATCTGGTCCCTTTATGAATCTTTTGATGGATGAACGCGTGGGTATGGCAACCAGTAGGCAGCAGAACAATGTGGGAATGATGGTAATGGGAGGAAGCAGTACCGCTATCATAGAAGCCTTGGCTTGAGCATAAACAATGGTTGTGTTCACAAGCAGTATCAACTGTTTCTGCACGTCCCCCTCCACAGCACCTGTTTTGCTAGGGTATAAAAATCAGGCTGTGCACATTTTCATTTTGAACTCTTTAGTTAAATAAGCTTTTGTAATAGTAAAAAAAATAAAATAAAATAAAATAAAATCCAAATCTGATCACCTCATTCCTCTGCTTCAATGCTTTCTAACTAAGCTTAAAATTTTGACCCCCTGAATTAACCCACAGAGTTCTCCAAGTCTCCAGCTTCTGCTGCCATATGACCTATAATGGTTTCCCATCCCTGGCCCTCCTCTTTACCCCAGGCTAGCTGATTTCTCAGCTTTCTAGAATCTTCTGGAGGGGGCCCTTCCCTGCTCCCTATTTCTCTTCCTTATTCTCTGGAGCACTTCCCTTTTCTTTTCTTTCTCTCAAACCACCGTCATTTTGTTTATTAGCCACCCTACCATATAACCATAGAACCCCAGCTCCTAGCTCAGTGCTAAGCACAGAGGGGCCAGTCCCCCAGAGGCTTATTTATGCCTTCTACGATGATTACTGAAGCACGAGCTTATCCACACAATGACAGCCTACATAAGTGTCAGGATTAAAGGCCATATAAACTCTGAACACACAAAAGGTCTCAGCAAAAGCCCCATAAAATAATCAAGTTAACTGAGGGACTTTTCACGTAAATCACTCCCCTTGGGGGCCCACCTCTAAATTACTTAGGACATTTTCTTTTCAGACAGATAGTTATTTCCTTCCAAGTGGATGAGTTAATTGTTCCTGAGAGCTTTGGTAGACCATGATGAAGGAAATCTCTATTTGTTAAACTCCCTGGGATTAATGTCTTTTCCCCCTGACTAAATAAAATAATTATTTTAAATGAGGATGGAGATGTGGCAAGGAACAATTCTTTTGAAAAGCAACAGTAATAATTAGGCAATACTTCCTTTACCAGCAAAAGTCACTCTCTGGCCACAAGTACTCTAGCGTATCTTCCAGATACACGGTAAGTCTGTTTTGCTTCTCCCTCTAAAGTTAGATGTGGAGTAAGATTTGCCTTGGCCAATGAACTAGAAGGTAGGAGTGATGTGTGCGCTTTCTGGTGAAAGCTTTTGGAACCACTGGGTACCTCTCAGGGCCCCTGCCCTGCCTTGCTATAGGAGCATGTTTCCAGATGGACTCTCATGGGTCTGGGACCCTGACTGACGGTGAGGAGCAGAACCCCCACACCAGTCAACACTGCATACACAGCTTGAATGGGAAATCAGATGTTATTATTTTTAGCTGTTGAAATTTTGGGTCACTCCTGACTACAACACAACCTAGCCTATATTGACCAACACAGTGAGCTGACTTGTCATTGACTGCCAGGATAATAAATGATCATTAGATTCCTATCATAGACAGGAAGCTGCAGAACCACCATGCAACAGCAGCCTTACACAGTGGAACCTGGAATCCCCAGGAGGGGGCTAGGCTAGAACCTCAACATCTTCCAATCAACAGGTACTTATTGGTATGCATTATCCATCAGTGCGCTAAGTGTGAGGGATACAGTGAACTGTTGCTAGAAAATGCCTATGGGTGCTGTGAGGTGGGTCCCCCCAGCAAGCTGAACAAAATCAGGAAAGCAATGAGGTGGCTGGCAAGGCCAAGAGTACAGGATTGGTGGTCTGGGTCTCCGGAGGAGCAGCTGTGAATGTGTAGGAGGACAGTGTGGGTGACTCAGAGATCAGAACTATCGCAGGCACTTTCCTAAGTGCTCCCATGCAGTCACTCCCTGCATCCCCCCCAGAGCTCCATGTGACAGAGCTCCACTGCTGTCATTTCCTAGGCAAGGAAAGTGACACAGAAAGAAGTTAAATTAAAAAAATAAATAAATAAGCCAAATAAATATCTCAATTAACCCAAGAGGTAGGGAAGTGAAGAACACATACGTTGGAAATTAGGAATGGGTAACAAAAATCTGGAATTAAAACGGAGAAAAGCCTGCAGCATAGTGTGACAGCCAAGGCCCTACCACAGGTGGCCTGGTTAGCTGAGAAAAGTTGCCGGCTGCCCCACCAAGGAAGCAAGGGCATGAAAGGGGAACCGGCCATCCCCAGCCATGGTGGATGAGTCAGGACCCTGACTTCTTGCTCCTGCATCTCCCAGCTGGGCCAAGTGTGCTCCGGCTTTGGTCTGCTCAAAGACATAAATTCATTCATCTATTAGTTCATTCACAAATCCTCTGGGGCACCTGCCACATGTGAGTCACTATGTACACTCTGAGATACAACAGTGAATAAACCAGTGCCGTGTCTGTTCCAAAGAAGCCTTTCTTTCTAGTGCAGAAAACAGACCTAAACTGGGAGTGGGGGCTCCTGGACTAAACAGGGGTCTCTTATCTATATCTTTGGCAGAGAGAAGCTCAAAACATGCGGAGTTGATGTCACTAAAACACAAGCTGTGGTGAATCACACCCTGTTGTCATGGAGGGAATGGGGTGGGGGAGGGTACATAGGGACAGACTTCCATATTCACCAGAAGGTGAGTTCAGGGACTCATCCAGAAGTCAGACTTGCCTGTGAGCGGGAGGCGGAGCCAGCAAGAGAGAGGGCTCCTCCATGCTCCAGCTCCACCTAAAAGTCTCTCTAGCTCAACATAGGAACAGGCCAAATGCTGAGCATCACATATTACCTGGGATACCTGAGCACCAGGTCCAGCATTTACTACACTCCAACATGTGAGCACACCTGCAAATTCATTCCTGGAGAGCCCAGACATTAACTTCTGAGTTCATCTAGATCAAAGAAGAACATTATGTTTAACCTGCCCAATTTAGCTCATCAACTTTTGACAACTAATCTTCTAGAGCCTGAAGAATCACTGACCTGACATCAAAATGGACCATTCAAAACATGAGAAATTTGTGAAGAGTCAAAAAGTGGGCATTACACCATAGCACATCTTTTTCAAAGATGGTTTTATTCCTAAGATGTTTAAGATAAATAGGCTTAAAAAATTAAATTAAATTAAAATGGCTTTTAACTGTTTGCATCAAGATGAATTTTATATAAACCACTGTAACTTTTCTGTTCCATTCACTTATTTCAAGAAATACCCAGTTTGATGACTCAGGTAAATCCCCACTCAGATGTTAGAGAGTAGGTTTGTAATGACTCTATATACCATGACATTTGGAAGCACTTTTCTGAACATTAACTTGCCTGAAATCCTAAGACAAAATACAAAATTTTATTTTCCATTCTATTTCTTTTCTGTCAAGGTAGAGAGATAAAGTTGAATTTATAAACCCATTTTCACCAACTCATTTTCCTTTTTATAATTTTAGGGCTAACTGTACTATAGAAAATTCAACTGAAATTTATAACTAACATTAGCCACAGTTGCTTGCTAATAGTCCAAGATAACTCATACCAAAAAAAAAAAAAAATCATTCCCTTTCAAAAGTGCAAATTCTATGTTACCACAGTAATCATGAAAGCTATCACCCAGAAACCAGCAGAATATTTAAGCTTTAAATGGGTATTTATGGATTTCTACAATTATATTGTGCTTAGTTGGTGATAGGTACTATACGGTACACTTTACACGTATCATATTATCTCATTTACTATATAAGGGGGTAGGCACCTATAAGGTAGGTGCATGCCTGTATTATTTCCATTTTATAGTTGGGCAAATAGAGAGGTTGAGTAACTTGTTGTTCCAAGGCACATAGCTCGGAATTGACAGAGCCAGATTCAAACCCAGCAGTTCTGGATGGGGACTATGCCTCCTTGGCCACTAAACTAGAATTGTTCCATTGCTGACCATAAAGATCCACACACACCAGCCCTTTGGTGAGACTGCTTAATTCAGTCAAATAACAAAAATCAAGTTTTCTCTTTCTTTAATATCATTTGCACCCGGGCTAGTTAGCTGTACAACCCATATCAGACTTAGCATTTCCAAAAAAACTAATTCATATTCTTCCCCTGCATCCTATTTCCCACTTTATCTAGCAACTGCTATGAGAGGAGAAGAAGAAAGGGATAAATATATGGCAAATCATTTACTGCACAAAGTAATTTTATTTCAAGTCTCAAATTAGAGAAGCAACGAAAAAGAAAACCTGTCAGAGCTCCAAATCAAAAATAAATCAAGTCACATTAATGAAAGATCTTAACAAAGATACACTCAAAGCATGCTCTGTTTGTCAGAAAGATGGCTCACACAGACTCTAAGCAAACCTCAGTGGCTCAGCTCTCCAGCGTGCCACAATTAAGGCAAAGGACAAAGCATATTATTATATATAGAAACAAGACAACTAGGCTTGTATGTGACATTTTTCCTAATCAAGGTATAAGCAAGAAAACCATCATGTGCCAGAAACCGTTTTGCAACTTGGGGATGCAGGGACAAATGGGAGGAGCTAGGGCAGCAGAAAAGAAAAATGTTAATCCACAGTTAAATATTCAAGACAAGATTTTTATTTATCTATCCATGAGAGACACAGAGACAGAGAGAGGCAGAGACACAGGCAGAGGGAAAAGCAGGCTCCATGCAGGGAGCCCGACATGGGACTTGATCCCAGGTCTCCAGGATCACACCCTGGGCTGAAGGCAGTGCTAAACTGCTGAGCCACCCGGGCTGCCCAAGACAAGATTTTAAAAATGTGCTGCCATACGATTAAAATGTCTCCTCTCAAGACAACCTCAATCTCAGAGCAGAAAGGATGAGAAAGGTCCACTGGAGCACCCCTTCCCCAAAAAAGCGCCAAATAACCACTGCCAAGGAGAGGCTCAGGTCATGGTGAGCTAGGCAATGCTCATTCAGAATCTCTCCTAAAATGCCAGCCTCACTGGAAGCAGCCAGCCACTTCCTGGCAAATAGATGAAAATAGAGGGGAAAAATGCAGTTCTGGGGGTGCCTGGGTGGCTCAGTCAGTTAAGTGTCTAACTCTTGATTTCAGCTCAGGTCATGGTCTCAGGGTCGTGAGATGGAGTCCTGCATCAGGCTCCATGCTGGGCATGGAACCTGCTTAAGATTCTCTCTCCCTCTCGCTCTGCCCCTCCCCACACG